GGGCGTACGAGATCTTTTTTGTGTTGATATTTGTTGTTAAAATTTTGGAAAAGGGGATTAAACTTTTATAGAATTGAACAGAATCTCAACAATTTACCTCCTGCTTGAACTTTTCTTCTCTCGTATCCACTTCAATATATCATTATATCAACATCGTTTCCAAGACCATCACCAAATTGATTAATTAATATCGCATTCTATAAAAGATTGAAGAGAACTTTCCTTTGTTTAACGTCAAACACACATAAAAAATAGTGAATTCGTACATATTCCACCTGCCGACTAGTGCAGGTTTAACTTCTTGATCGCTTCAAACAAAAAAAAAGGTAGATACGATTATTAGTATGCATGATGTTAACAATGACAAATGAACGAAATCTTTTATTTTCACACGTCATAGATCATAAGAATAGTAAACCTAATAATAAATATGCGCCAATTTTTTCACACACTTTACGAACCTTGCAGCGATATTCTGTTTCATTTGAAATGAGCATCAAGTTTCAAATTACTATATGATCTTTCTCTGAGGATTTTTCTAAAATTTTCCTCAGTATTAATACAGGTGATCCGATTAGTCTATGACGACGACGACGACGACGAGAGAAATTTTGAACACCACCACCACACACTATAATAATCAAATATCTATTAGAAAATTTCCCGTCATAGTTCCACCCAAAAAGTCTTCGTTATCAAGATGGTTGAAACGATAGAATTGCCAACGATAAATAAAAATAACCGTAATAACAATAATAGCGATAACAATAACAGAAGGAGTGTTGATTACATCCAAAGTACACTTCCCGAGAAAGTCGACAGTAACAACGATGTAAATGACCATATCGAGTATAATAATGATGATACAGAGAAAAAAAAAGTGGATGGCTGTATAGAAGTGGAGGACGAAGAGAATTCACCAATACCAATGGTGGCGGCGGTAAGATTCATTTTCTCATGTGATGTCATTGGATGGACAGATTAATAATATATGTATTACGTAGGCGGTGAGCACAAATGATGATCCAAAGTTATCTTGTATCACATTTAGGTTCTGGGTATTGAGCACGGTAATTTTCGTGAATTTTATACTACGTGAACGTGTATTTTATCGAATCAACCAATTTAATGAATATAATAGTTCTTCACCACACTCGGAGCAACCCTATCAGAATTCTACTATTTCCGTCCAAATAATGCCGGATTCTCGTTATTTTTTGTGTTACTAGTATCGTATGTGCTTGGGCAATGGATGGCAAGAATATTTCCTAATAAAAAGTATAGCATTGGGAGATGGGAATTTAATCTTAATCCAGGTTGGTTTGTTTTTTTTTCTTATTAACACGTTCATCAAACTTACATTCACCTCGTCAACGCACAAATAAAAAGGTCCATTCAACGTAAAAGAGCATGTTTGTATTTGCGTGGCGACTGGTGCTGGTGGTGTATCTGCTTATGCTACGGTAATTATCTAATTACTATAAAATATTTCAATATTTTTCCGACATTTGAAATAATTGGATTTAATTTGTCTCCAATAATACAGGATATTATCGCGATCCAAGAATTGTTTTATAAACAGCATGTCGATTTCTTTAAAGGCATCTTGTTGCTTATCAGTACGCAGATGCTTGGATACGGACTCGCTGGATTTCTACGCAAATGTAATTACGATGTTCTTCTGGTCAATTCTATAAAAGTTTAATCCCCTTTTCCAAAATTTTAACAACAAATATCAACACAAAAAAGATCTCGTACGCCC